GCCATATATTAGAGCTGGACAATTAACTGAGGTATAATCAATTAATTTTAATAAAATAATCAACTAATTGAAAGTAGTGATTCTGATTATTACTGTTTTTGATTATTCCAACTATCCAAGTAATTAGAATATTGCCAATATGATTTCTTATTATTATTTTCAATTGATTCAACATTGTTCAGTGTAATCAATTAATGTCATGACTCATTATTATTAATATTACTATATTCGATTATTTCAACTATCCAAGTCTTATATAAGAATAACTTACTAGTTGAATGTGATTGATTAATGAGCCCAACAGTTAATTGATTATCAGATTCCATTTATCCCTTAGCTCTATAAATCATAGTTTGAGAAAATTGAATTCTTTGATAACCTGAAATTGTTTTATTATTGAACAGTGTGGTTACAAAGAAAACCTTTTATTTAAAATGTGTACATTTTTTAAAAAACACTTGTCCCTTAGAAAGTTTGTTTCATCAGGTGTAAATTGAGAATCATAAGTTTTATTCAGAGAAGCTTGGTATATCAAGCCTTTTGTATGTTCTAGATAGTGTTCATTCATCCTCATGATATCCTGTGTACTGATGTCAATGTTAATAAAACCACTATTCTTATATTGTTGTAGGAGAGAAAGAAGATTAATAAAAAAAATGATGGCTTGAAAGAAGAGTAATTTAGGTTTTCAGTATAATGTAGTTTTGAAAAACCTGTATCATGTTCAGACTTTCTTGAATAAAACTTAGGATTTCCAATGTTCCTTTGATTAAATTTTATTCCCCTAAGACAAGTAGTTTTAAGGTATAATCATTTTAAATGTGGGATTTTCTTTAAAATAACCCTGCAGATGTTTTTCATATAAAATTCAAATTTGATTACAACACTGAATTATAGATAACTACATTTACTGAAACATGGAGAAAAACTTGTGTTTGGATGAGTCAAGAGAACATCATGTTATTGATTACCTTCTTGTTGCTGAACTCTTCAAATCTCTTACCTATTGTATACAAAAACTGAATAGATTATCCCTCAAAATTGTTTTCCTCAACAGGTATTTAGTGATAAATGACTTTCATGTAAGATGAACTATGGTTGGCACCAGCAACTTCTGAAACTACCTATAGTCTGCCCAGAAATATAGAAAGATGTTTGAAAATGTTGGGGTTATTTACCTGTTTCTTTGTCTCCTTTTATTTCTAACATCTTCTCTGAAAAACAAAAATTAAATGTAGCTTTTGCTACCAAAATGTTGTCAACAGTTTTAATCCTATCACCACGGGTATCCTTTACTGTGCATGACACAAGGTTTTAGTGTTTTACATTCAAAAATTTATTAAACTACTTTTTGTTTATGTTATACCAATTAGAAGAGCATAAAATCTTAGCTAATAATCCATATTTTAATAATATATAAGTTTTAAGTTCTTACTTCTACAAGGCAATATTTTAAAAAATCCTAAATTTCCCTAGTGTGACCCACGTGACACATTTTCTCTTAGCATGTCACCTTTCCTATTTTATCCACTACCCCTTGAATAAGTATCAAATTAAACATAAATTACTCACTATAGAATTGTCACTGCTCAGACAAACCATAATTTTTGTAGTCTTCAATTTTATATTGTTACAGAGCTATCAAATAGAAACTCAGACCCCTTCTGCCTCTCCCACCTGTCACATCATCTCTTTCAGAATTCGTTAATAGTTCTCTCTTATGTTTAATTATGTAGTATCTATAACCAATAGAAAGTCAAGGTTTTCATCTATCAAGTGACATTGTATAACCTTAGGTTCTGAATGGTTAAATGTCAGTTTCACTCAGAGTACCAACATTGTTCCTGTGAGAAAGTTAATGACTAGCTTGGATGAATTTGTAAGGACTTGTCACATAGTTAGAAAGCCAGAAATATTTTTAGAGATAGGGGAATTTGTCAGCTTTTTGAATGTTGTTAGTCTTTATTCTTTGGTGCATTATTTATTTAAATAAAAATTATTAAGTGCATTACTATAATTAGTATCAAAAAATTACAGTAAACTCTCTTTGACAAACAACAGCAAGAAAAAAGAAGATTGGTTGAGTATTTTATCTCTTGTTTTTCATGTTTATTCTTTGTCTTATTATAAAAGTAATT